CTCAGAGGTCGTCTCAGAGGTCGTCTCAGAGGTCACCTCAGAGGTCGTCTCAGAGGTCGTCTCAGAGGTCGTCTCAGAGGTCGTCTCAGAGCTCACCTCAGAGGTCGCCTCAGAGGTTGTCTCAGAGGTTGTCTCAGAGGTTGTCTCAGAGGTCGCCTCGGAGGTTGTCTCGGAGGTCATCTCAGAGGTCGTCTCAGAGGTCACCTCAGAGCTCACCTCAGAGGTCGCCTCAGAGGTTGTCTCAGAGGTCGTCTCAGAGGTTGTCTCAGAGGTCACCTCAGAGGTTGTCTGAGGTCGTCTCAGAGGTCGCCTCAGAGGTCGTCTGAGGTCGTCTCAGAGGTCGCCTCAGAGGTCGTCTCAGAGGTCACCTCAGAGGTCGTCTCAGAGGTCACCTCACAGATTTAACAGTTTGACGTCAGATGCACTTCCTGTTGGCTTGAACCTGCAGCACTATGAGAGCGCGGCACCAACCACGGAGCAGATCTTGGTCCAAGCCTTCAGCACAAACTCACTGCAGCTGAGATGAAAACTGAACAAAGAACAAAACTGGGCTTTTATTTTGAAAAAGCCACATTATGACCGAGGGAACCAACACGCCCACTTATTCAGGGGTATAGTCACATCCTGCACAAACTAAAGCAGTAAACTGGGGTAACAAAGAGGTGTTTTAAAACTGATTTTAAATAATACTAACTAAGTTGTTCTGGTCTCTACAGATGAACAAGTCTTTGTAGTTCCAAAACCTTTCAAAGTTAAAATAGTAGAAAGTTTAATTAAACCAGTTTTAGTTCTTAAACCTAACCAAGCTGATCCCTTTCTGAAAGTTTGCAGCTGAAGCAGCAGCTGAAGATTGGCTCGAGCAGCTGAAATATCAGCTGAAGCTCATCAAACTTTAATCATTTTAACTGTGAAACCTTCCCATCAGAACCGGACGACCAGGGTCATGCAGGCGTCAGTACCTCCAGGTTCTGCAGGTATCCTTCCTGCGGGTCACACAGCAGCGAGGAGATCCGGTGGTTCTGCCTCATGCAGCGGCTCTGACTGTCCTTCCACAGCGGGAAGATCTGCCGGATCACCGTCATGCGCCCCAGAGCACTGTGGGTCAGCTCCAGAATGTCTGTGTCGCCGATTTCCTGCAGATGACAAGAATAACTCTGAAAGGGAGGTTTCTGAAAAAAGGTTCTTTTTTCTGGATGAGCCTGGAAAGAAGAGGTTTGTGAAAACATCCAGAATAAAGAACATCTGTTCAGTTTTACATGAATCAACAGAAACTGCCTGTTTTAAACCAAGCAAACATCACGCCACCTTCACACCGCCTGTTGTAGCGCTTCCTCCACTCATATACACGTTTCACTGCAGCAACAAGGGAAACCTAATTATTGACTGAGCTGCAATCATGAACAGTCTGCAGGAGAAAGGAAAGTCGTTTTGTTCCGTTTCTCTGATATCGTCTTCCAATTAAAAGTGACGCCGTAAACAGAAGTCACTCAGATCTGAAGCTCAGCGCAGAGGAAACATTTGCTTCTGTCGAGCTGAACACTTTAAAAGTCTAAAGTCTGACTTCAGGTGCTCTAATTGCAGCCGGGACGTCAACAGTCTGTCCAAACCAGTGACACCAGTTGATCTGATGGATGTAAAAAGATAACTTCTGTTCATTTTGTGCCTCAGCTGGGAGGAATATGAAGATTAAATGTTTATATTTTGTTTTAAAGGTGAAGTTTTTTGGTTCTGAGTTGTTTCATCAGACAGTGATCTGAGCATTAGGACTACTTCATACACCGTTTCAATATTTATGGTGACAGTTTATGGGCTGCGTTTATTCATTTTTTAAATTCATACAATAAAACAGAAGGAAGTCCAGTCTAGGATCAAAGAATCAGATGCTGGAAGTTGGAGGCCACGATTCTGAACTGGAAAAGGGCGGAATGCTCCTTTAGGGTCGTGGGTGAGTCTTTGGCTACGTTCACACTGCAGGTCTGTGCACGGCCGTCCACGTTCAAGTTCAAGTAGTGTTTATTTGTCATATGTAAGGTTAACCTGCATCATGAAGGACCACACTCACCCAGCACACACTTTTTGCCCCACTCCCCTCAGGAAGGAGGTTGAGGAGCATTAAGTGTAGAACCACTAGACTGAGGAACAGCTTCTACCCTGAGGCTGTTAGACTCATGAATCTCTAACCAGGAGAATCACTGTGAAAAACCACATGTTGCTGCTGATCTGTTTCATGTTGCTGATTTGTTTCAATGTTGCTACTGATCTGTTTCATGTTGCTGATTTGTTTCAATGTTGCTGCTGATCTGTTTCAGTGTTGCTGCTGATTTGTTTCAATGTTGCTGCTGATTTGTTTCAATGTTGCTGCTGATCTGTTTCATGTTGCTGCTGATCTGTTTCATGTTGCTGCTGATTTGTTTCATGTTGCTGCTGATTTGTTTCAATGTTGCTGCTGATCTGTTCATGTTGCTGCTGATCTGTTTCATGTTGCTCTGTTCATTCGTACTCATCTGCTCACACAGACTCATGTTCTTGCTGCTGTTCAGTGTAATGTTTTTATGCTGTCAGTGCTTAGTGTATATTTAGTGAATATTTAGTTAATGTTTTTCTTAGTTCGTATCTTAGATCTTATTAATGGTTTTCTTTACAATTTATACTTTTGCTGGATGTAACTGGGACCCTGTGTGCACAGTTTTGTTCCACCTCATGTACCACATGTATGACAGGAAAGAACCTTGAATCCTTGAAAACACAAAGTACACAGTACAATGACATGCTTGGATGAGAAGAACTGATTTGACTCTCTAAAAAAAAACAAATCAAACAACAAACAAGAAATACTAAAAGCATTCGTTAAGGGTACACAAAGTACCAAAAAGTGAAAAAGTAATTATAATATTTATAACGTCCAAAAGAGAGATAGTAAACAACAACATGGTAGAATATAACAATGCAAGCAGGATGAATTTAAATGAATAAGTATTTCAAGGTAGTAATATAAGCTAAAGTATACACACACACATACATTATATATATATATATATATATATATTATATATATATATATATATCTATATATATATATATATATATATATATACATGTACTACACAGGTTGTGTGACAGGTTATTGCACAGGTAGTGACACTGAGATGAATTGTGATGGTAGAAACACAGGTACTGTGTCATACATGATACAGCCATGGTGCAGCAGCAATCAACATATTAGCATCTGAGCTGTCACAACTAATATTAGTCACATTACCACGTCATGAACTGTGACCTCCATCAGACTCCAGCGTGAACCGGTCAGCATGAAACCTTTTCTCCAAGGCTCCTTTCTACCTCCTCCATGTACAGGTGGACATCAGGAGAATCTGGGCACCACATACCCCCATGGTTCTGACCCCCACATGTGAAGATGACTGCAGGCCCAGTTTCAAGAGTTGACACGGTGGCTCTGTGGAAAGTGTGGTCCTGCTGCTCAGAGTGGGGTCACCATCAAACTCCTTGATCCTCCACGAGAAGGTGCTGCTTAGAAGACTGACTTTGTTGCGGCTCCTCAGACTCAAGAAGTCTTTGAGATTAAAGACGAAACGTTTCCACAAGAAGAACCTGTCCAGGGGACCTGATTTAATCTGGTTAGATTATCTACCTGGATTATTGAGCAGCAGCAGGATATTTGAACAACTTGTTGTAGTTCCTGATCCTAAAACCCTCAACATGAACACGTTGTTGTAAGCAGCTCAAATGATGAGCAGAACGAAGTTGAACTTCATAAACACCAGAGTCCAGTTCCTGATGAAGGAACGTTTAAAGGGACTCAACAGAACGAAGCTCAACTTCTGACTACAAGACTAACCGTTTAGTTTCTGTTCGGTAAAATGATTTATTGTAGCAAACACAACAGCTCTATCATAAATACACTGGAAATGATTTATACTCGGAGAAACTGAATTAAAGTTTAAAACGTACGATAAACATTTTGTGTGTGATCAGCAGTAAAACGCTGCGTTTAGCTGAACTTTAATTCTAATTTAAAGATTCTGTCACAACTTGTAAACACAAAACATCAGCAAGTAATAAATCTGATCAACAAGAATATTTGATAAATCCACTGCTCACATAACTTTTTAATCTCTAATCTCTGGATGGACGAGCTCCAACCCTGCGGGGACAGTGGAGGCGAGGAAGACGAGGACAGGGCGGAGAGAAAAGAAGAACCCCAGAAGAGACCGGAGGCTCTGACGGAGTCGATGCAGGTGAACGTTTAGAGTGTGCACCTGGAGGAGCAGTGATGTAACCAGGAGGTGCTTTTTGTTCACAAAGGATCACATTTCCATATGAAAGAGGAGCTGGTGTCATTTACACTTATCTCCTCCTCATCTCCTCCACGCCAGCCCTCGTTCAGAGGCTTCCTCAGGTAATTGGGTTTGCTTCGACAGGAGCGCAGGTTTTATCTACAGCCTGACAGATGCACAGCGACAAAAAGAGTTTAACCCACGATCGCAGGGACAGTTTCTGTCTGCCCCCTTTTGGAGGCGAGGCGTTCAAGAAAAGACCTCACCTTCTCCTGAGAGTAATGAAGTGGCAGGTTGTGGAGAAATGTAAATCAAAAGAGAACGCGATGATTTCAAACCTCACAAAAAAACATTTCATTCACAGTGGAACATAGTAAGCATCTTACATGTTCAAGCATAGAGGGGAAAAAAGGGGAATATTTTGAATCTGATGTCAGCTGAAGACCCCCCTCTTCTTTGAACAAGCAGGACCTGAGGAGGCCAGCTGCTGGAGGTTTGGAGGAGGAACATGAGTCTGTAGTGAGTAGATGGGTATGAATGAATACAGCAGCATGAGATCATCCGCAGCATGGATAATCAGCAGCATGAGATAATCAGCAGCACAGACAAGTCACATATCACCAATTAAAGTGTCATTACAGTGATTCTCCTGGTTAGAGATTCATGAGTCTAACAGCCTCAGGGTAGAAGCTGTTCCTCAGTCTAGTGGTTCAACACTTAATGCTCCTCAACCTCCTTCCTGAGGGGAGTGGGGCAAAAAGTGTGTGTGCTGGGTGAGTGTGGTCCTTCACGATGCAGGTGGTCCTCTTCCTGCATCTGGAGGTGTAGATGTCTGTGATGGTGGGGAGGCTGACTCCAACATCTTCTGTGCAGCCTTCACCAATTTAATTAGGTATTTTAAGTTATTATAAACATGATGCATATTGATCATATTGCTTTATGCTAGGCCATTAGTAAGAAGGAGTTGTTATTATTATCATTTCATATTGGCTAGTGTTTGTTTTTGTTTTCTTTCTAAAAGTTAACTTAGGCTTCACTGTGTTAGACTGTGACTAGGATGTGTGAGAGAAGCAGAGCGTGCTCTAGTCACACAAGGAGAGCTGTTGGTCAGGCTACTTCTTGTTGTGCCATTAACTCTAAAATAGTTATTGAATCAAGTGTTTCCTTGTTTAGATAAAACTAGATGTTAAACAAGCCGTTAAAATACACCAGAATGCAGGAAATGGCATTCACATTCACATCTACCCCCGACATTACAAATGCTTCTGACATCAACAGCCTCCGTGTTGTTCAAGCCAAGAGTTATTGTCAGCCCAGGGGGCTAAGCACCGTAAGGGCAGATTTTAGAATCGGCCGATTTAAGATTATAATTACATGATTTTAATAATGATTAAAGGTTGTGATCTAAAGTGGGCCACTCTGAAACTCCAGGGCTGAAACAGAGTCCCACTTCGGCCCTGATTGGACTCGTCTGACCTCAGAAGTTCTGGACTTCACCTCGATCCATTTGAAATGAGCTCTGGTCCAGAGAAGACAGCAGCAGTTCTGGACAGTGTCCACATCTGGCTTCTTCTTTGTCTGATAGAGCTTTAAGCAGCATCTGTGAATGAACTGTGTGAACAGAACCAAAACCAGACCTGGTGTTAATGCAGTGGCCCCTGAGGGCCACATACAAATTATTTTAATCTGTGGATCAAATTATGAACTGGAGATGATGGAGATTAAAGTCTTTCACTGAGGAACTTTATGCCCAGTTTGCACCACTCCTGCCCAGGACCGGTTCTGGAGGCGTGTCCAGAATCCAAAATCCTGCTAATGAACTTTTAATGAACTTTAGTTCATCGAGTGAGAGTTCTTAAAAGCAGTCTGCTCCTCAGATAAATAATGTTCAATTATTATTTTATACATGAATGTTTCTGATCAATTATTATTTTATAGATGAATGTTCCTGTTAAATTATTATTTTATTGATGAATGTTTCTGATCAATTCTTATTTTATATTTGAATGTTTCTGTTAAATTATTATTTTATATTTGAATGTTTCTGTTCAATTATTATTTTATAGATGAATGTTTCTGTTCAATTATTATTTTATACATGAATGTTTCTGTTCAATTATTATT